TGCTCCTCCTAGTGACACCAGGGTCCCTCTTTCACGCCAGTGACATCGCAATGGCATGCTTATTTCACTGACTCATCCACTAGATCTGAGCTCCAAGGGGGCAGGGGCTGGCCCGGCGCAGAGGGAGCATTCAACAAATATTTATTGAGAGAAGAAAAGAGAAAGAAAGGGAGGGAGGAAGGAAATAAGAGAGAAAGAAAATGAAGGAAGAGGGGAGGAAAGAAAGAAAGGGGAAAAGGCAGGGAGGAAGGACCTAGCCTGATGTCAGTTTTCCATGAGAAAACTGCATCCTTCCCTGCTCCTGGTCTGGATCCCAGCGCCGCTGCATGACTCCTGACTCTCCAAGCCCTTCCTCTCCCAACTCCTCCGCCCCTTGCTGGTGCTGTACCTGGGCGCCTTCTCGGGCTCCGGGCGTGTTCTGTCTGCTCACCCACCTCCACTCCCCCGCCCTCTCCACCCTGCCCGCACCCCTGAGCCGCTGTTCTCTCTGGGTGCCTTTCCCTTGTGATTTCCAGCCTGGTCCCCGATGGAAAGCACTGGCAGGAGGCCGGGAGGCAGAGGAAAATGACTCTGGCCAGGGTGCTGTAGCTGGCCTCTCCTCTCTGCTGAGAATCACAGCAGAGGGCTCCCCGAAAGCCCTCTCCACACAGCCATGGCCACACCCTCCTCTCGACCCTACAGGCCAAGGGCGGAAATCTCTCCCCACTGTTTCTGACTCTGGCCTCGCTGGCTGTCCTCAACCCTGCTGACACTGTTGTAAATAGCCTCTCCTTCAACACAGCCTCCCTCTCGACTGTCCTTAATTATTCCGTTTGAATGTGCCATCTGTTTCCTGCCAGGACCCGAGTGGCGCAGACCGCAGCTCTACCTCCCATTGCACCGCCTGTGCTGATGCCTCAAGTCAGGGCTGCTCTGCCGACTTGCCTCGCTTTCCCCAGACAGACTCAGCCTCTGCTCTTTAGACCTCCTGCCCACTGTGTGTCATTAAAACCACAGATCACAACTTCTTATGTTTGAATATGACTCCCCCACTAAAGTGGAAGCCCCTTACTGGTGAGGAATGTATCCCACTCATTGCCACATCCCCAGTGACTAGCAGAAAGGCCGGCAGAGGTAGATGTCCCCAGTAGACGCCTGTTTAGAGGAGAGAAACAGTCACCATTTGGTTCCCTACAATGACTTGGAATAAGACATAAGCAAAAAGTTGGGCTGTGTAGTCCTCAACCCCAAGACCATCAAGGCCCCCTTTTCCACCATTTACAGTAATCCTAGCTACGGTCTCACTGTGCATGCCTCAGGTGATGGGGAGCTCACTCACCCGCAGAGAATCACTCCCCCGGAAGGACAGTTCTCATAAGGGATGGCATTATCTGTTACTCGGTTCAACGCTGCCTCCTGTAATTGCAACACTGGTACCATCCACGGCTTAGAAGCCATGTACAATAATTCTGTTCCCTTTCCCACTGAAAATGCCTTCTGATACTTGAAGTGCATGTGTCATGGCTCAATACCTTCAATGGTTATATGGCATGGCTTCTGGCCCCCTCACTGTCCCGGTCCCCTTCTCTGTGCTCATCCTCAGTTGGCTGTCCTTATCGTGACCTCTTAATAAGGAAAACTCGCTGCGGCTGTAGCTCTAACAGATCTGCAGTGGCTTGGGGAAACCCAAGGCCATTATCCAGTTCCCTCCCACACTCCCTCCCTTAGCACTGCCTAGTCCCAAGCTCTTGAGGACAGTTGGGAAGAAGAAGAGAATGGGACAGAAGTGAGGGGCAGGTGTCTGTGGCCTGCAAGGATGTCTGGGCAGCACTGGGGGGTGGGGCGCAGCAGACAACCAGATGCAGGGATCTAGAGCACCCTTAACCCCAGTGTGAGCACTAAGGCTGGGTGAGCCTTGGCCTCAGTTTCCCTCCATGGAGGATAAGGGGTTGGGACCAGTGATCTCTGAGGATGTTTCTAGGTCTGGGGCCCCAGATCTGCTAGGACTGGATGCTCTTTTAACAAAGGAACGCTTGAGAACATGGGCTAAGGGGGCCCAAGGACCATGATGGCAAGTGAGTTTGAATGTGTTGAAAGACATGGTGCTTTCTGACGGAGTCCCCTGCGCTGCCCAGCTGCATCACGGGTGGGCCATATTCTACTCGAAGGACCCGCTACATAAATTGTCAGAATGATGACTTTTCATCAGGGCTACTCAGAGTAGGCAATGTACCAACTATTCCTCACCAGTCTATTGCACAGAAATGGGGAGTAAGCACCTAGAAACTTTTATAGGACTCGGACACTGCCTCACCACTCTAGTGGTATCTCAAATTCAGTTTTGCTGTATATTACAAAGGTACTGGTTTGCAACGTGTAGAAAAAAATAAAAACCAGTCCTTCACCATAGATTGATAAGAAGTAATTTAAATATTGTCTTTACTCATTGAGAGAGAGAGAGGGGAATGATAGATAGAAATATCACCTTGGGTAAGAATTAAGTTCAGCTCCTTATTAAAAATTTCCTAGATAGCATCAATCTAATTTCCACTGCCTCTATCACAGGTGCCTGTCTTCCTTCCTTCCTGGTCTCATTTCTTCTTCTCTCCTCCCCCTCCTGTTTTTAAAGTCACAAAGTAAGTATTTCTCTACAAATGTCCACAGGTTTCTCTCCGCACATAGGAGAGCTGATTCTGCCAGAGCACTGTCACCCCCAAGACCATCAGGAGATAACATATTCCCGGAGGGGCTTACCCAGGGCACACGACTTTCCCAGCCAGCAAATAAACAGGCCCTGGCGGGAGCAGTCACAGCGCTGGCACAGGGCCTCTCACAGATATTTGGGGCATGTGGTCCCATGACTTAGAAAAGGGGGAGGCTGCTGGGGCCTGCCAGCTCTGTCTGCTGATTGTGAGGTATCTGAGGCCGGGGGCCCATTGGCCCCTCGATGCCAGCACAGTGCGCCTGCCACAAAGGCCGACTGCTCTCGGGCCTGACCCAATCCTACTCAGCACTTTTCTGTCAAGGCTTTAGTCCTGCCTGCCAGCCATATCCTTTAACTCTGCCTCTTATTGTTTCTTGAACTTAAAAAGACCCTCCTTCAGTGCTCTGAAGTCCATAGACCTGAGTTCAAATCCGAGCTCTCCATTTATTAGCTGAGTGAACTTGGGTAAATCCCTTTATCATTCTGAATCCTGGATTTCCTTCAGCAAAAGAGGGCTCAGGGTACCCACCTTCCTGGCACTTCTAGGTGCTAAATAAATGTGTCGCATGAATGATGAATGGACGGATGGATGGGTGAATGAATGAAGAAAAACAAATGGGTGAATGACTTCTAGCTATTTATTTCTGGTCACTTGCCCTCCCCATGCCCACTCTATCTGAGCACAGTGGTAACTTCTGGGAGTCTAGCTCAGCAGAGCACACACTGCATTAATCTTGGAAGACTTGCATTTGTGATTTAAACAAATGACTTTCCTAACCCATGACCTTGGCCGAGTCATTTCACTCTCAAAGTTCCTCTATTTTCCTGTCCGTCAAATGCAAATGCTAACCTCTGTCTTGTCTTCCTTGCCAACTTCTGTCAAAGCCCAAATGAGAGCAGAGATGAAAGGGCACCGTGACCTGGAAGGAACTGGCCACACACCAAGGCTTCTTCCCACATGGTCTGCTCGTGTGTCTGAGCCCAGGTGAGAGTCCAGGGGCCCGCCTGGTGCCAGGAGGCTGAGCTGACATGCTCGTTGGCTAGCAGCCAGGCACGACATTCTCCTGCCAGCACCATCATTCCTTCACACATAGGTATTCTGCCTGTACATGGGAGGCCCTTGCTCTTTTGAGAGAGACATAAAGAGAAAAGTCAGCAGAAAACCTGCCGAGGTCTGCAAATGCACTCGGGCTATCAGCAAGTCCAGGGTCCTGCGTGTGGACAGAATGGAAAAGTTCAGCATGAATCTGGGACATCCGGAGAGTGGATGCTGACTGTTTCTCTGGCTCAGAACTAGTTCTTCCTGGTCTCACGCTGACTATAAATCACCCATGGGTTCACCTTTGGGTTTTCCCTTGGGGTCCCTGGTAAGAGTAGATAGCACAAGGCAGAGGCTAAGGGAGCATTAGACAGACGACCCCCCCTTTCTACCCTCTTCTCAGTGGTACATGAGTAAGTTCCTCTGCCCAAGTGTCCTCCTTTCTCCCCAGTCTCTGATGTCCAGGTTGTACCTATGCCTTCCCCAAGACTCTCATGCAAGTGTGTCTTCTCTCTGCGGTCCCTGATGGCCGTCCCCTAAACACAGCTCCTGCTACCCCTCATTATATTAAGGACAGAGTATCTACCTCCTAGTCACTGTGAAGAGAGGCTGTGCTTTATACATATGCTCTCTCTCAATCCTCAGAGCAGCTCAGCGAAGTGGGTACCATGAGTATTCCCATTGCACAGATGGGAAATAGCTTCCAAGAGGTCACAGAGTAAGAAAACAGTACCACTGAGATCTGAGCCCAGGCTGTGTGACCCCAGCTGATCCCAGCTTCACTCACACGGTTCAACAGAGCACATTTCTCTGGCCAGTATGGTAGCCACTAACCCCACACAGCTGCTGTGTATGTGAAATGTGGCTAGTGTGGCTCAGGAACTGGGTTTTCAGTTTTATTTCATCTTAGGTAATTCACATGTAAACAGCCACAGGTGCCTAGGGATTACCTAGGGGACTGCACAGCTCTAACCCACTCTGCCACATACATCTCAACAGCTATTTGTACTCAGCTCATGTCACCCAATTTAGACTCTCAGAGAAGACAGGGTTATGACTTTTCCTTCTTACTCCAGAGTAGGCAGCGGACAAATATTTTTGTAATGGACTACGCTTGATGTGGTTCCCATGATTACGTGAGTAACAACAGCCTGGTCGCAGTTAGGAAGCTGCCCTGTGAGCTGGAAAATTCCCAGGACCCCTATGGGCCTCAGGGGACTTGCCTGTAAAATGGGGGCAGGGGAAGCTCAGTTCTCAGCTGGGCCCAGAAGGTCTTACCTGTGTGGAGAGTCGGGATCAAAGCAGGTCTTGGTGACATCCGTGATTTCAGGGTCACAGCACTCGCCACCATCAAAGTTGAAGCGTTCGTAGTTACAGTCCATGTCACACACCCCGTTCTGCTGCTTCTTCATGAAGGCTGGGTGGCGCAGGTGGCGGCAGTCCCCGCCATCGTGGCCGGTCAGCGTGTGGTTGCACTCCGGGTCACAGCTCTCGTCCCCGATCTTGCTGATGTCACAGTTGGCCAGGATGAGGCGGTGGCGCAGGGAGGAGTTGCTCACCTCCAGCACCTCCAGCTCCCAGGAGATGTTGTAGTGCTGGAAGGCCTCGGCCAGCTGCCGGTGCTGCAGGTCGATCTGCTGGCGGCTCACCGTGGGGTTCTCGTGGCCGTCGTCATGGAGGTTGACCACGCGGTAGCGCACCACCTTGGGCCGGCGGAACCGGGGCAGCTGGTTGTAGCTGGCGATGACCTCCGCGTTGTCGCACAACGTCTGCCCGCACAGAGGGGGCTCCAAACTCGTGTCCAGCAGGAAGCTGTGGGCGCCGCTGAATTCCACCTGGGGGCTGCTGCCGTCCTTCATGGGGGACCAGGCGCGCTTCACGCTGTCCCAGCTCTCCTGCAGCAGGAGCTGAGGTAGGGGGGCGTGGAGGCCATGGGTCTCCATGTCCAGCAGTACCTCCCGCTGGGTCCTGGCCACCTTCCACAGACTGAAGCGCTCAATGTAGCCCCGGAAGTTGTGATTCAGGGTGCTGCCCCCCAACATGAGCACTTTGCACTTCTGGGTCAGCGGGCTGAATATGCCGCCCACCTGCTCCCCGGAGGTTGCCACCTGGGCGCCGTTCACGTAGAGCTTCATCAGCCGCCCGTCGTAGGTGGCAGCCAGGAATACCCACTGGCCTGGGAGGTAGCTCTGGTGGGCATTGATGGTGGTCACTTGCCGGGCCCGGTCTGTCTTCAGGGAGAAAAAGTAGCGTGGGTCTCTGTTGCCTTGGTCACTGACGGTGTGAATGCCCACGACCCATCCTCGGTCACGCGAGGTGTAAGAACACTTGTCATACAGCCCTAGGTGGCCCCAAAAAAGAAAGATGAATAAATAAAAGATGGAAATAAAGGGGGGTAAATTATTTCTTTCAGATACAGTTTATATCAGGCTGTCCTAGACCAATGGTCTTCGAACTGGGCCCTGTGGGATCCAGGCAGTTACTACAGGAGCCTCTGGGACCACCCCTGGGACAAGGCCAGGGCTAGAGAAACAGAGGACAGCTGAGATGGGGGGGGTCTTCACCATAACTGTACCCCAAGCAGTTTCCCTTTTATTGGTTTAGAATATGGAACATACAAAAACCATTTTTGTTTGAAGAAGAGATACTTGAGCTAAAGACAACAAAGACAACTCCACCGATAATGATCATTCAAATCTGAAAACCTTTGACTTTTGCAAAGCTGTTCGGCGGGGAAGAGCACTTTGTAAATAAGAGGGTATTATTAGTGTAGGATGATCCAGAAGGTAAGAGGAGAAACAGAGGGGGGTGATGATGAGTGGAAGGTGTTCAGTGAGTAGGTTAGCTCCTACCACGGCCACCACAACTTTGACTGTACATCAGGCACGAGCAGCCGTCCAGCGCTCAGGGGGGTGAACTGTCAGGAACGTTGGCCTGAAGAACCGGGGACAAGGAAATCTATTGGTTCTATCTCTACAGGAGCCCTGACATTTATTTCCAAAGGAAGGCAGGGATGCCTACTACCTGAGCTTGGAAGGTTTTCAGATGTCACCACTTTTCACTTCTTTCACTTGACGGGTTAAAGTCTTGAGAGTCAGAGAATGGAAGGCATTTGTCAGATTACACAGAGTCACTGACCAATTTCCTGAGACCCTATTCAGCTTGTTTGCCTCTAACACTAAAGCTGATATTAAAAATAATAATAATAATAAAAAGAGCAGCCTCTTAACATAAGCCAATGTTGGGGACTCCTACATAATAGTTAATAACAAGGAAAACCTACCAAGCCTCTCTGGCAGGCCAAGTATTGTGCTAAGGTCCACGTGTGCCTTAATTCATTTAATCTATGTAATACTCTCAGGGTGGTGATCCTAAGGTAACAGAGGAGGAAATGGAATTTAAAGAAGGTAACAAGATAAGTTTAAGGTCAACTGGTTGGTAAGTGGATCCTGGATCCATCAGACCCTGGAATTCACTATTCTTTGCACTAACTCTACAGCATCTCCCTCTCCACCATCAATGCCACCAGGGATCTGGACCACACCATCTGCCTGGGGATGTCACAAGTTTTAGTTGGGTGTTTGGGAAAGTTTTAAGCCAGACATCTCCAGACTTACTCTGGGAACCCCAGGAAGTCACTTACCAGATTCTCTCTGGATCTAATTATCTTTACACTCGCCAACCTCCGTCCCCCAGCCTTTCTGGAGTATACCCAGTGTCCCTGGCACAGACAGGCTGTTGGATGGGAAAGAGGACCGTCTAATTAAGAGTGTATTTTAAGTGTCGGATGAAGCATGAAGCCAGGTGGGAGGAGAAAGAGAGGGATACGGGAATGAATAAAAGATGCTCATTTAGAAGGGCAGGCCCTACTTTCAGCTGGAGAACTGCTGCGGTCACCATAACTTTGAGTGCATCTGCTATTAGCGCTCATCAAACAAGCATGGAGAGCTTCCAGAAAGTCAACAGGGGAGGTCACGCAGTCGTTACTCCTTTGTGGGCCCTGGGGCCTTAGGATTTGTGTACATCTCTCCGTTAGCAGCTGACGTGGATGGCAGTTTTGGCACCAGGCATCTAAGTCCACCTACACCTCTCCTCCCACTCCCTGCCCAACAGCCCTTCAGGAAACAGCCAGAGTGTCCCCACGAAGCCAACCTGTTCTCACAGGCTGAGCAACCTTGGTGAAGCCCCAAGTACCTCTTCTGGGTCCTGGTTCCTCCTGATAAAAGAAGGCACTGATTGAATGAAGATTCCCTCATGTGCCTGGTCTAAGTGTGCTTTTCTGGGATTCCCTTTTCCCAACGGCTAAGACAGAAACCACCTCTTCCAAGAAACTCTCCCTGATAACCCTATAAGAAATGATCCTTATTTTCTCTGAACTCATTTTACTTTTAGGAAACTGAACACTTGCTTTCTGGTTTCAGAGTCATCTTGTCACACCCTCTCCCACCCCAGGCTGGATGCTTTTTGAGGGTGATGACTCTGTCCGGGTCACCTGGACTGTCAGCAGCTCGCTCCACACCTTGCCTGCAGCAGGCACTTAGTGTTTCTTCAACGAGCACACAGATGATCAGTGGGAGAAGCGAAAAGCACCGGCAGAATCAAAAACGCTCCTTTACATCTCCAAGGCTAAAGCTCAGAGAGAATCAGAAGACAGTGTGTTCTCGGTGGGGTAGGAAGAGCAGGGTCTGGGCTTGGGGTAAATTCTGATGATGACAGTTGCTAGCTATATATCTGGGGCAAATCACTCCAGCCCTGTGGGTCTTGCTTCCCTCATCTGTATCTCTCTTTAAATATGTTGTCACACTTGAAAGACAGCAGCTAAACCAGCCCCGGCGCACAGTGGCCATCCAATGGAAGCTCAGGTTTCAGACGCTGGAGGGTCTGGGAGTGATGTCAGGGATGGAAAGTAGAAAATGACAGGAAGCCAAACACAGGAAGGTTAGAGAGAGAAGGTACCCTGAGGGCACCTCGACGGATGTACCAAGAGCAGGTAGGTTGAAGGCTCCAAAAGCACCAGTCCTCTTGCAACCCACCGGCAAAGCCCACTGAGGAGCCCTACTTAGGAATCATAAATCCCCGCGGGCTCAGCTGCCAGCAGGAGACAGCACCGCCTCACTGGCCCCTCCAAACCCAAGGTTCTCGCTCTGGATTTGGAATCAGTTACCCCATATGGACCCAAGGAGAGCAATGTTTCCTGGATCCCCCTTTCTTGTATCCCCCACCCTACCTCTGAGCTTACCTTCTGCTCCTCCCTGGCTCTACCTCCCCCACCCCAGGAACAGAAAATCCTTCTAATGAGGAAATTAACATCTGAAATGGGATCCTTTCTCCATTTCTCTCTCTCTCTCTCTGCAGGTTTTTATTTTGCCAGGGGCTCTCAGTCCAGGGTTTTCCTGTTGCCTTTGGAAGGCGGCTGGCAGGGTTAGCAAGGTAAAATGTTTACACATCTGTAGGGTGCCCTCAGTTCAGAACCTTCCCGGGGCTGGGACCCTGGCTCAGGGCACCTCTGTTTGCAGCTGAGAGATGAAGGAAACAGTGAGCAAAGGCCAGACCCTGTGACACTGAGCACGCGGGGCCAGGACTAAGAGGTGGCTGAGCCCCAGGAGGCAGAGGGAGGGCAGAGAGAGGGTTTTCAGGGGAACCAGAGGAAACACATTAAGGGAAATGAGAACCTTGAAGCGGTGGCTTCAGAAGTTCAGAGGGAAATATTTACCTGGAGTGTAAGTGGCGAAAGGAAATCACTGACTTCAACAGGGATGGGGTGGGGGGTATAATGGGAACGGGGACTTATTTCTGTATGAAAATAACTTTAACAGTAGTCCCATTTCAGGGGCTGGAGGGGGTGGGGCACTGTGTACCACCAGCCCAGAACCAGGGACCTGGAACCAGAGATCTGGGCTCAGCTTGCTGGGTGAACTTGCCAGGGACAAGTCACACCACCCCCTATGCTGCGGAGCCTTGTGTCCTTTCTCTGAAACAGGAGGGGTTTGGAATAAATCATCTCCCGCCACAATTTAAGAGCTCTTTTGTTCACAGAACGGCTGCTTGTAAGCAGAGGGAGTCAAAACTGTGTGTGGATTTGAATGGGACGCCTCCTGTCATTTCCTAGTGCTGCATGCTTAGGTCCCCTCTCCTCTGTGTATCTCCACACAGGACACGGAACAGTGTTCTAGGGGACACAGGGGTGCCCCAGACACCTCCACCCCGTCGGCTCTCCCCATGGCTCTCCAGGAAGACAGACGCAGGGAGACGGCGAGAATGGGTCTGAAGCCAGCGCCATCTGCGCGGTGCTGGAGGTTGCTCCCGGGGCAGCTCGCCCACCTGGCGGGACGGAAGCCGCGGGCGACCGTGCGCACACCCCCTTCTAACTGGCACAGGCCTGCCCGAGGCGGCGATCACGGGGAAGCCGGCGGTGATGGTGGGAGAGAGCCCTTCCCGGCCCAGGAGGTATGCGGGGCCCACAGCCAGGTGGGGAGGGGAGGCCAGCCCAGGACGGGGGCCTGCCCTGGGTGGCAGGGTGATCACTAGTCACTTGAACCCTGGTCAGCTGGCCTTTCTAACGTGTCCCTCTGTTTCCTGCAGGAAGCTCCCTGTGGAAAGGGCTTCGTAGCCCCACCTAGAAGCCTGGTTGTCACTGCCTCTCTTTCTTTTCATCTACCCACTAAACCTCACCCCAGAGGTGAAAAGCATGCATGAAGGAGGCAAGTCCAAAGGCAGAACGCTTGGGGCATCTCCCAAGGCCTTGGCCAGGGCTGGACTGGGAGAATCCTCTGGGTTTCGGGGTCACTTTACAGACACTACCTCGGAGCAGCTTTGTCTGACCACTGCGTTCCACCCCAGGGACAGAGGACTCTTCCTCCCATACATTCCGGGAACTCACCACTCCTGTAATACTGTTTCACGATTCGTGTCTATTTGGTTCATTTTGAAATGCCCAGCATTTGGCACAGAGCCTGGTACTTTGTAGGTGCTCCATCAAGTTCGTTATTGAAAGTAAAAAACAGACCTGGCCAGTGTGGCTCAGTTGGTTGAGCACTTGTCCTGTGCACCTAGAGGTCACCAGTTCGATTCCCAGGTTGAGGCAGCCGATTGATGTTTTTCTCTCTCCCTCTCCCTTCTTCTCTCTCTCTAAAATAAAAAAAAATAAAAAAATAAAAAAGAGTAAAAAATAAAGAAAAGAAGGAAGGGAGGGGTGCTTCTCTTTCGCTGGCCTCTTAAAGAGCAGTGTACCTTTTATTTAGAACTTTCTAAGTATCGTGTGCCCTACATGAATTCTCTCACTTCATCTTCACAACAAAACCATCAGCCTTGCCCCTTTTCAGAGAAAATTGAGGCTCAGGGAGAGGAAGAGGCTTGTCCAGGGCAACAAGGCTTGGAATACAGGCCTACAGGATTCTTA